TAGAAGTTATAAATGGCTTTTACTTTTAATTATTACTCAATAACTAAAAATAAAAGTGTAAGCGACTAAATTTTCCATTCTACTTTAGTCATTTAACCACACCTCTGACCACTTGGAGGAGTCTCATTCAGAACCTCCATAAGTCCAATCCAGGACTTAGGACTTACTAGCCCCGAGAATGACATCCATGCCACTCAACATTTGCATTTATTCTAAGTGCTCCATGTGTCCGATCCCATGACCGACACTCAAAGGTACCACCGACATAGCAACCCGTTACGCTAAGGCCATGCCTAATCACCTTTGCCACACTGGTAGTCCATTACCACTTGCATCACAATCTTGGCTCTCCAAGACTAGGCAAACCCTCCGTGAGTGGTCATCTCAGATCCACTCCTTAGCATCCTTAGGATGCCCACCGACAAGGGGAATAGCTTTCCCCAATATCCCTCTGTCAGTCCCCACTAAGTCCCTTTCTGCCCTTGGCCGTGTTTGCCAACACTGCCACTGGATCGAGACCCACAAGCCTGACCACTAAGTCCCATGGTCCTCTGAGACTTCCTCACCACACGACTGTGTCCTTGGTCACTACCCCAGAGGACTGTTCCTCTTCCTTTCTACAGTCTAGGCCTTTGGGACAACATTTCGGAACACCGTGGCCCTACGCGGGCCTCATGGGTACTCTCCCTGCCTTTCGCCTTTGGGTGCTCTAGCCATGGGCTTAGAGCGAGGTTCCGTTGAGCCACACCAGGTATCCAAGTAGGTAGTGCCACCCACACTTGGACTGGGAGCATCGGCCAGTCGATCTCCCGGGGGAACTAGAGCCGGCTCTTGAACACTTCACCAAGCTACCCCGCTTGTCGGTCCGTGTTCACTCTAGTCTTGGACTTCCCAGTGGGCAGCTTTTCACCCAACACTGGGTCCGGCCTTCCTGGGCCAAACTGGCCTTTCCTGGCCAAATTGGCTCCACTGCAGTCCTCCCCCTACTATACTTTTGGAGCTCACCAAACCCCCCAGGGTCTGGGAGACAAACGCTTTGGGCTTTCACCCTCTCAGACTTAAACTCGAACTCGGACTCGGACTCGGACTCGGACTCGGACTCGGACTCGGACTCGGGCTCGGGCTCAGTCTCGGCCTTGGCTTTGGCCTCGGTCTCGTTCTCGGTCCCGATCTCGGTCTCGGTCTCGGTCTCGGTCCCGGTCTCGGTCTCGACTTCGGACTCCATCTCGGACTCCATCTCGGACTCCATCTCGGGTCCATCTCGGACTCCATCTCGGGTCCATCTCGGACTCCATTTCGGGTCCATCTCGGACTCCATCTCGGGTCCATCTCGGATTCCATCTCGGACTCCATTTCGGGTCCATCTCGGGTCCACCTCGGACTCCATCTCGGACTCTATTTCGGACTCCATTTCAGGTCCATCTCGGGTCCACCTCGGACTCCATCTCGGACTCCATCTCGGACTCCATTTTGGGTCCATCTCGGGTCCACCTTGGACTCCATCTCGGACTCCAACTCGGGTCCATCTCGGACTCCACTTCGGACTCCAACTCGAGTCCATCTCAGACACTTCCACGTGTCATGTGTTGGTCCTTTTGGGTCCCTTTTTGGAGCCTCGCTTTTTGTTCGCTTCGTGCTCGTTCCTCGAGCACTTCGTTAGGAGTTCCACTCCCACTCTCGACCTTTCAAGTCGGAGTGTTACACTCGTTTGGCTTTCGCTTCGGTCACTACCACGTGGCACCCTTCCGGCTCCACTTTGGGGCCTAGGGATTTTGTGTCTCACAAAAAGTTTCTAAAGATTTAGAGAAAGTTATTAAACATATTTACTAAACCTGAAAGTAAATCATTAAAATATTGAATCTTTTAAATTTTTCATGATAACAATTGAAATTTTTTACATAAGGAAACAATACCCAAAATGACAATAACAAAGGTGTTCAAGTTCTATAAACTAATAACAATTAAATCTTTTAAACCATATAAGTAATAAAAGGTTCATAGCAAATTTGAATAAATTTTAGATACATTTAGATTTGATAATAAGATCAAGAGTTTATTATAAGGTTTTTAATTAACTTATACTATTATTTAATTTAACATTACTTTTTTTAGCTCAAACAAGTTTACTTGTTTGTGAATTAAGTTATAACCATATATACCTTCATATTTTATTCATAAAAGGAGTGAGAGTTATATTTGTGAATATTAGTATTTATATATTTGTTTGAGTTTATTCATCCACTAGGTTTTAGATTTGAGTTAAAATTTAATAAATTTTTTCTTTCCATTTTTGAAAGGTTCCGCAATGTTGTTCATTTTTAGTTTAATGTAGCCATTAGTGTCATTTGTGGAATTTTTAAAACTGTAAAATTATATATATGTTTAATTTTAAGTTTATCTTTGTTAGTTTGCTCTTGGATAATTTAAATATTTTTCAAAAACTTATAATTTAGTAATTTAGTATCATCTATTAGTAATATGGTAAGTTAAATTAAGTTTTAAATATTAATAAAACTGAAAAATTGTTACAATTTATAAATTCTATAAAACTTTTAAAAGACTTTATCGCTCGTAAACCGTGAAATTTGAAATTAACAAAGTATATTAATTTTCATTTACATACATATAATCATAGTAGAGCTTTTCAAAAAAACAAAATTATATTTTGATTCATCTTATTTTAATATTTATTGCTTAAAACATAAGACAAACAACTTCTATACTCATAAAATGTTAAAATGAAAATAATATTAATTAAATTTATATTTTATTATTTTAGAAGAAAAAATGGGTCAATAATACAAAGTGGTAAAAAGTTATTAGAATTTGAAAAACAATTATTCATGAAATCTACTTTTTGTTAAAAAAATTCTATAATTATTTTTATTCTGAAAATACTTGTGATCATAAAAAAAACTAGTTGACGAAGTTTTAAATTTTTTAAAATAAAAAGTGTAGTTTTATTTTAATTTGTTTATATTATTATATCATGCATCTGACTTTTAGTAAAAAAAAGCCAATACACACTATAAAGTGCCATGGTTTGAAAGAAATCAAGAGTTCTGCATGGTACACCACAGAGTTATGAAAAGGATCACAGCTATCTAAGAAAAAAAAAAAAAAAAAAAGCTTCACTGTGTAAAAATTAAATGCTTTGGGAGAGGATCAGCGCTGCGGCCGCGATATTCTCGGATCAGGTGCGCAAATCGCATGGATCAAGGAATGCGGCGGCGCCAGAGATCTGGAGCGAATCCACCAAGAGGCATTCGTAGCGGCTATGGATGCGGCAGCCTGGATGATGCGATCCATCTTCAACGCCATGGGATGAAGAATCGCGACGTGGTGTCGTGGAATTGCTCTAGCCATCAAGAAGATCTGCGGGAAGGTCGTCAAGCTCAACTCTCCGCTTTGATATCCACTCGAGAATCCTCTCCAAGAGCAGCTTCGCTGAGCTACACAACCAACACGCTCATGGACATGTACACGAAGTATGGGTATTTGACAGGGTGGTTTCGCAAGACGTTTCATGGAACGTCTTGATGCTTGGCTATGCTGAGAACGGAGAAGAGTCTCTTATGTTGCAGCTACTCCAAGTGACGGCTGGTGCTGCAAGCCCAAGGCTTGGGGCTGTCTCGCCGCCAAAGTAAAAGAAAATCACTGAGCAGCATTTTCTCTATTGCCTCGCTCCTCGTGTCAAACTATCCTGAGCTTGGATCTCCTTGTGACGGTGCTGGCATGCTTGTCAATCTAGTACTTTCTCACAGGTGAGACATTCTTTTAGCTTTCAGAACTTGTCAACTCCTGGTGCTCGCGATGCAGATCTCAACTTGTAGAAATCACCATCCCAACTATCCTATGCATTTTAACGTTATTGTGCTCTGTTTTTGAAAAAAATCCATCATCAAGGTACTTGGTCTATTTTATTTGCTTTTTTCCAAAGGATTCCATCTGATACTGCAACGAGAAGCCGAGAATATGATTGTGGAGGCATAAATTGCCTTGTTGCTCGTGTTCCTCTCAACTGAAAGGTACTACGTCGCTCATATCAAACTTAGGCCAGCAATTCAAAGCTACTGGATGCTCTCTTCCGGTGGCACAAATTACGATTTATAAGTGGCATGGATTATTTTTTAATGATCTTTTGGCTTTGATGTATATATTTACTCTCCTTTGGAGTGTGTATAATGCTGTAATATGAGGACCAGAAAGTCTCGAAATCTATAACATGGTGTTGGGAAAGTAATTCCAGGGAGAAGTTACATTAGATGATGAGAGCTACTGGTGCTTTCAAGAGTGATTCCATTTGAATGTACTAGGTTAACCGCAACTTTGGGGGACGGAGCACGACAAACAATCGCCGAGAGATTGCCAGGGCTTTGACACAGTTAGATCGCACTAAAGAGAAATAACTACACACCATTTGATCATCAAATTAAGGAGGTGGCTGACAAATCGAAAGTGAAAGAGAACTAGAGCTGTTATACAGATAAGTGGTGGAGGACTTTACTGCTAACACTCTCTCCTGTTTAGCTGAGTCCTGCAACAGCTAATCAATCCTTGCTAGTCTGCTCGAAACACTAGTATCCTTTAGCTGAGTCCTCCTGGCTAATCTGCTGTTACGACTATGCCTGCTGCAAGTAATCTTCAACACCTCTATATCTAATTTGTTGCCAATCTCCTGCTACCAAAATACTAGTCTCCTTAGCTGAGCCCTCTTGGCTAATCTGCTACTATATCTAAAGACAACATTCTTTCCTCTACCCGCTTCCTAGCTTCGGCTATACTTATCGGCTACTTCGGCTATACTTCGGCTATACTTCTCTAAACACCTGCTCAACCTGCTTCTACGTAACTAATCTTCATAGTCCATCCCAGTACTGGACTATGTCCTGCTCTATGGTTGCTGCTAACTTAATCCATGTCCTCTGCCCCCCACACCTGTTTGATGCTGCCTTCGTTACTTGACCACTTCTGCTTCGAAACTGCTGTGTAATAACTTCTGCTTCGAACGAAACGTGACCTGCTTAATAGGAAGCGAGGAAATAACAGGGCGTGAAGCGGCAGGGGAGCGAAGTGAGTGGCGCGGAGGAGGGAGGAACAAACAACATCAGCAGCGGCAGCAGCAGCAAGGACATAAAGTCTTACGCTTCTTGATGGGCACCACAAGACTATAAACATCGGCATGGTCTGTTGGGTAGAGGCCCTTGCAGATGAATCCACATTCCCATGTTGCCCTCCGCCATACAGGAACCATACGGAAAATAAGTCCTTCGCATTGTTGGCCAGCTTGGACAGCATGGGTTCCAAGTTCCAGCTCCACCATAAGCTATGTTCCAGCCCCACCATTTAGCAGCCTGTATAAAAAAAGACATAAAACGCTGAGAGATTGACAACGAAGAAACAAGGAAATCGAGAAACAATACCTTTTCATCTCGGCCACCCAGCTTGAGAGCACAAGCTTACGGCATTGAGAGATAAGCTTCTTCCAAACACACCAGCCAGTCGAGATAGTGGCTGTCCGAGCCCCTTAAGATAGAAGTCGTTGCTCAAGCTCTTCAGCTCGTTCGTCTCCTTGGTGTGGAGCTTCTTGGGATCTAGCGTCACCTTTTATCCAGTCACGTTGAGCATCTCGCGCTTGGTTTCCAGCTCCTCCTCCTCCTCCGCTCTGATCTGTCGCATCAGGCATTTGAGTTCCAGTTCCTTCAGATCATTCGCTTTGCGTTGCTCGGCGACCGAAGTGTTGAGTCGCTCGACCACTTGAGCTGCATTGAAGTCCTGGAAGCAAAACACGAAAAGAGATTAGCAAGAATAAACAGTGAAGCTCAAACTAAGATTGCTAGAAACTCGAGGCTAAGGTTGCTGAGAACCCGGAGATGCTACGCAGAAAAGCTTGGAGATAGAAGCAAGCTGATGGAAGCAGAAAAACTAAAAAATAAAAGCAACGTAAGTTCTCGGAGATGGAAGCAACTTAGAGACGGAGATGGAAAAACTCAAAGATGAAAGGTTGGCTAGGAATAGCCAAGGAACAAACTCCAAGGAGTGCGAAGAAGCTCTTAAAAATTGATTCAAGATTCACGATCGATGCTACTGTGATAACATTTGTAACTGTGTGTGTAGCTTGGAACTCTCCCACTTCTTTCGACGTTAAATTCTGGCTCACAAACCGAGTAAGATTTAGAAAACTGCGAGAAAACTTACCAAGAGCCGAAGGACCGAGAGACGTGGCGAAGGAAAACGCTGGTGGATAACGGAACTACGAAACTTGTCCTCGCAGTTCCCGGTGCTGGTCACCTCCTCGATCATCTGGAACGAGCTGTATCAGCTGCTGCTGCTGCTGGCCGCCGTGATCTTGTTCAGGAGGAGGAGGAGGAGGAGCAATGATCTCCGTGTCCACAGCAAACTCCACCCATTTCTTGGACTTGACGAACATGATCGCCGGGTACAAGACGATCCCCACGGCAGCCACGCCGCAGCTCACAAAGATCGTCCGCATGGAAGCCAGGCACATCACCAGCACCAGGAACGCCGAGGGTGGCAGGCAAAACATCACCACCCCGAGCGTCCCGAGCTGGAGCTTGAACGGCCTGTGGAGATCCGGGCGCTTCACTCGCAGCCAGATGAAAGCCGCGAACTCGAGCAGCATCCCCACGCAGTAGAGAAAGTTGAGCAGCTCCACGATCTCCTGGAAAGTCATCCACGACAGCAGCACCACCCCGGTGGCCGAGCACAAAATCCCCAGGACTGGAGTGCCGTGCTTGGATCGCCTCGCAAAGATCCTGGGGAGCATCCCAATCTCCGCCATGCCCAGGAGCTGGAAAGAGTCGCTGCTCATCTCGGCCTCGAAGAGACCCATGTTGGACAGCGCCGCCGCGGAGTTGATCCACCACTTGAGCCACTGCCCTCCAATCTCCCGGCCGATGTCCGCGAAGTAGCCATCCTCCCAGTCCTCGCGGTGGAGATCCAGCACTCCAGTGCCCGCCAGCAGTGGAATGATATACGAGATCACCACCAAGAGCACTGCCGCGAAGAGAGCTCGAGGAAACGTCTCGCTGGGTCGCTCGATCTCGCCGGCTAGAGTGCTGGCCTTGTCCCAGAAGTTTAGATTCCAGAAGAGGCTGTTGAGGTACCCGCGCCACTGTGTCTCACGGATGCTCACGACGATCCATCGCCGCGGTTTGATCCGCGGAAGAGCTAGAATCCCCATGATCGCGAATGGCAGCAGCGAGAAGAATGCCAAGAGGATGGCCGCGAAGCCGACGATGGTGAGCCCCCTGTAATTCACGAATGTGAGCAGCGCCGTGAGGATCGCGAGCGTGGGGTACCTCGCGGCGGCGGTGGCGAAGACTGGCACCGATCGCTTGATGTAGTCGAGGAAGAGGACCGGGTAGAGCGCATTGTCGATGACGCCGCTCAGCCACTTCCAGAATCCCTCCTGGAATCCCCAGAAGGGGCCAAAGGCGGCCGAGATCCAGAGGACGTAGCCGCCGTTGGCTGGAAACGCTGTGGCGAGCTCCGCCGTGATGAGGGCCTCGGGGACGCTCCACAGGAAGGGGAAGATGATGAACCCTAGAATCGCCAGCAGTGGCCCGGCCGCCCTCACGGAATCCTCCACCCCGAACGGCCCGCCAGAGACCTCGTAGAAGATGAGCGCGACGAGAGGGAAGAATGAGAGCTTAGATCGCTGCTGATGCTCGCTTGCCTGGAATCGATTGATCGACGATTCATCCATCCAAGATTTCCTGTTCCAACCTGTGCTGGGACGATCTACATCGGTGGAGATGCTCTGCGAGGCCGCGATCACGGCGGCGGCGCCACTGCCGCCACGGCTCTCGAGCGTGGCGCCTCTTCATCCCAAAACCCTGACCTAAACGAATGTTCACTTTGTTTGAAAAGATTCGCGCGGGAAATTGGTATAATTCCTTCCATGTGACGGGCATGATTCCGCGGTATCTTTTGTTTTCCTCTTGGGGCTCGGGTTCGATCCATCATGGGCTTTTCTTCTTTAATGAAATTGGCACCGTTGGATTCACCCGTCATCGCGACTGGACGGGCAGCCGTACGCGTACCAAGCGTCGATCGTACTCGTCGCGCGTTTAAGCATTTTGGTTTTAAACCCTAACTCTTCGTCCTCGTTTCCCCTCTTCCAGTGTGGAGAAGAAAGAGAGGAGCGATCGATCGATCCCAATGCAATGGCGCCTTCTCTTGCGCGCTCCTCGGCGACGCTCGCGCTGCTGCTGCTGCTGCTGCTTCTAGCGATCGGCATTGAATCGACATCGCGCGGGGGAGTCAAGAATCCGGTAAGAAAATCCGGAAATCCTCTTCTTTTCTCTCGATCCCTCCCCTCCTCATCGATCGCTCACGAAATATCTCGATCCTGGCAGATTATCACCAGCGACAACCGAAGATTTCTACTCCGGCGCTCCGCGGGATTCTCGACGTCGTTCCACTTGAGCTGCCCGGGCGATGATTGCCGCCAAGCTCCGGGGCACGATGCCTTCGCGGCTTCCGACCGCCTGGTGCCTTCCGGCCCGGATCCTCTGCATCATCGGATCAGAGTCCACAATTGAGGCGCACAGAGGTTCTTCGTTTCCTGCGATCTCATCTTTCTTCTAGAGTAGTATCGTAGTGGCGGCGCGGCATTGCTACTGCTGGAGAAGCCACAAAGCTCTTTTTGCTCCGACACGTATCGGTTTTGGACAGTTTCTTGAGATGCTGCTCTGGGTGTGAAGGTGGGAATTCGGTGCTCGTCGCGGACAGGGAGAGGGAGAGGGAGAGGGAGAGAGTGAGAAGTTAATTGCGGCTGTCGCGCAGGCAGCCACCTCTCTTCCTTTTGGAGCTGCTGCTCATCAATGGCACCGAATTTCCCCAAAGCAAGCTCCTTTCTTCCTGGCTAACTTTTCCTTTTGCTTTGTTTCTCTCTTTTCTTGGCAGAGCCGCATTACAGAGTTCTAGGCAACGTGAATGCTGTCTGATCCAGGTACTCTGACAATGTTCTTCTCCTTGACATGATTCTTCCACTGTTTTGTCAGATCCCAGAGCGTGATCCCAGCTGATCAAAATATGTTCTTCGACTGGTCCAAAGCCAGAGCAACTTGGTTCTTTCAGGTACTGTGAATCGATTCACTTAGACGCAGGTGTCTACCTAGAGCAGAGAGTTCCTTTGCTTTGGTCTATAGGTGCGTTTGTTCCTTTCCATTTGTTCCTTGTGCGCTTGTCAGTATAGACTACCAGCTAGTAACCATCCATCCAGTGCCTCTGCTGATAGAAAAAGGAAGAAATTTTTGTCTATCCTCTCCTTTTCCAGTGATAGTGTCGGGACAATGAGAGTGTGAAGGGAATGTGTCTTTAGCTGTTTTATTCGTTGTCTGTTGGAATCCACATGTGACAAACCATGGGCGATAGAAAATCTATTTCCTTGATATTTGGCTAACAAACTCTCATTGTTACTCGCAGGCCTGGCCAGCCATATCCATGGATTAAGCTTTGGAGATCGAGATGGAGCCAGGGAAGAAAATATCGAGAAGGGCCGTGTCCTTGCTAAAGGTTCCAATCTAAACCACGCTCCGGGAAGATCCAGGTACTAAACGTGGGTATCTTATCTTATATTCTCTCGCAGAGGTTCTTTCTTGTTAGCGGCACGGAGCCAAAAGTTTCTCTCCGTCCGTACGCCAAGGACACGCCTATTGAAGGCAACCACATGGGCTATAAAAATACGATAGGTACTACCATTGATGGAGATGATCTCGTCGTGTAGAAGCGCTTCTTCTCTTCTCTTCTCTCCGAGCATCTTGTATTTATGAATGGAACGCGAATATGCGTTTCCACCATTTAAAACTTGCCTGACCGTGCGTGGGTTCCCATGAGGAAATCTTTTTCAAAATAGAAATAGAATTTTAGAAATAATGGATCATATCATAATCATGTGAAATTTCACACAACATTAGCATTAACGGGGATTATAGGACGGGCGAGATGCGGATTTTCGTGAAGGTTGGGGTAATGGTTGACAAGTGGAATTTCAAACATGGGATGGGAGAGGCATCACAAGATCATCAAAACGGCTTACTATAATCCGTCAGTCTCATGCTTCTTGGTGGGCGCCACAAAACCCAGCTAATGAATGAATGAATGAAATGCAAACACCTTTCCACTTTAGAGATTCATGAAACTTATCTTCCAGCTTTCCAATCAAGCTAAGCCATTGGTGAAATCAAATATCTCTTGGCCTGCTAAGAATGGTACTTGGTGCTTTTCAGCCCAGAATCTGGCATCCTGAAGTGGAAGGGCTCCAAAGTCATCACCCTCATTACACAGCATCACACAGCCAACCTAGAAGGATCAGTTAGCATCTACAAATTACAGGAATATCAATCAGAGGAAAAAGAATCATACAAAGCTAACAGAATTAAAACGGTCAAAGGAAAAAGGAAAAAGGAAAGAAAAAGAGAAAAGCTTGAGAGAAAACATGCAAGTTAGCATCTTAATATCATAGAAAGCACAGGAATATCAATCAGAGCAAAAAGAATCATACAAAGCTAACAGATGATTACAACAGTCAGGAAAAATAATAGAGAGAAAAAGCCTACCATGAGAGGAGAGATCCCTGCTGCTTTGGCAAGGGCCACTGATAGCTCAGTGTGGCCCTGCCTAGCTCTCAAGCCCAAAGAGTTCTCCACACACAGAAAAATATGGCCTGGAGCATGAAATTCTCTCCCAAATGCCTCTTGGGCACTTGTAAGAGGCTTGACAATACCACCATTGCCATTGGAGGCACAGCTGTGCTCGCCCCACAGGCCAGCCAGGCGGCGACACGTGTAGCTCCTCTCCACGTCGGACGCCCCAGTCTTGAGGCTCCTGTGGTCCAAAGAGATTCCAACCGAGCATGAGCCCTGGCACATTACCGTACCTTTGGCACTGCACTGCAGCACGGGGTGGGAATGGGCCATGGCCAGCACCTGACCCATGTACGGCAGCCCGAACGTCGTGGCCACCTCGCTGCCAATGGCGATGTAGAGCTCGCCCCCGGCCTGCGTACGGAGAGTACGGAGCGCGCCCGGGGTGGTGGTGGCCGCCGGGAAGAACAAGTCGGTCTCGCCCTCGCGGCTCTCCGAGTCGAGAATGGCGACGCATTTGCCACTGGCCAGAGCTTCCAGTGCCTGGCGGATGATCGAGGACGGTGGCATTGCTCGCGTGATGCTGGGAGAGAACTTTAAAACCAAAGGAATGGAATCACTTACGAACTTCTCGAAGAAACCAATGTAGAAGCTCGAGAAGCTAAAAAACGGGAGAGAAAAAGAGACCTGAGAAAAGGAGCAAGCGTTAGATATTTTGATGAAACCACGAAACGATTATAAAGGGGAAGAGAGCCATACCTTGTTTGTCTTTGTCTCGCAGGCGCTGGTTGAAACAAGACAAAGAATTATCTGCAAGCGCACGAATCTTAAGGCCCAGAGCGCTCGAGCTGCTGCGAGTGGTCTTTCGCTGACACCGATAATAATGGAGTGTATCATAAGTAGTCGTCGGCCTCGGAGAAATATGGTTGGAACATTTCCTCCTCCCAACAGTGGTCTGCTATAACTTTGTAAACTTCCATGAGGAGCTTCGGAAATCTAGTCCGGAAGTAGCTCTCGTAGCCTTGAGGAATGCTTCCTAGTATTTGCTGCAAAGAAACCAAAAAGAACTCAGCAATTCGGTAGAAGAAGAGAAGTAAACCTTGGGAGAAAAGAGTTACCTGTACATCGGCAGGAAGCTCCCTGTAATGGTTCGCCTTGTTACGAATGACCCTGAGTAAATCCCGCACGGCCTGATAGTTATATTGCCTGTAGCGGCCGAGGTTGTTGATGAGTAAAGGGTCCAGCTTCTCATCCCATGCTCCGCCCAACGCAGTCGGAGCCACGGCCTCCAGCGCAGTCAGTACCGCCGAGCTGGCTTCTCTATCCTCGCGTTCGACACGATCGCTAGCAGTGATGAGAAACTGCAAGCGCTGTTGCGGGGGCCAGAAAAATGGATGAAGCTTTACTTGCATAGCAGTTGGTCTGTGTAAAACAGAAAAGGATTGATCAGAAATATATCCAAAGATTGTACCTGTCTTTGGGATCCATGGCAAGCAAACTTGAAATGATGTCGATAGCTTCTGGATAGTGATCTACAGCAAAGAGATCCATTTTACCAGACACAATGTTCATGTCACGCTCCAGTCGGCCTCCAAATGGATGCTGTCCGCCAGTGACGCAGAAGTAAAGGAGGCAACCAACGCTGAACATATCTACAGCTCGAGTTTGCCGCTCGCCCTGGATTTGTTCGGGTGCTTGCCAGCCGGAACTGCCCATACCTGTTTAAACATACGTAAAATCTTTCTCTTTCTTTTGTTTTTGGCAAATAGAATCGTACCAGTCGTAAGCTTGTCAATGCCTGACGCTCCATCATTCAGCCGCTTACTGATTCCCATATCGGATATTTTTGCGCTCAGAAAAGTGCCACTCCGAAGAATCAAGACGTTTTGAGGCTTCAAGTCTCGATGAACATAGCCGAGCTTGTGAAGATGAACGAGTCCTTCCAAAACATCTCTGTAATGAAAAGCGAACAAGAAAATAGTACGTGAGCCAGCAACAAGAAAACTACCTCATCAGTCTCATGAGCAACGGGCTTGGAAGGCAGGACCTATCCCACAAGGTGAGCTTTTGCTGCAAAATCTCCTGGAGTTCTTTCTCCTCGAACTCGTTTACTTCAGTTCGATTGTCTGCGCCAGCAGCGTGCACGACAATAAATGTTTCCAGGTTAAAGCTGCATCTCTCCAGAGCTATATAGACGAAGTCGTTGTCCTGCTCCATTGAGTAGTACCGCACCACATTTGGATGAGTATCCAGCTCGATGAGAGCAGCTATTTCCTTCGAGGCTTTGTGGTAAAAGCCGCTAAGTATCGACTTCACAGCTACCTGCCTCTGATCCAGCTTGCCTTCGAGAATCCTGGTGCCATGACTTCCGTAACCGATGACTATCTTAGAGATCGTCAAGCTCCCAATTCTTCCATCTGCATCCTGCTTTTTCGGTTGATCCACTTTCGTATCATCCACCTGTTTACTAACGTTTTCTTGAGAGGCTCGATCACCCTTCGGACCTCTGCGTTTCTTCCGCTTTTGCTGCTGCTCCTTTTCCTTCTTCTGCTTTTCTTTCTGTCCAAAGTGTAGCACTCCTTTCAGCACCAGAGTTACCACAGCCAGACATGCAAGCAGTGCACCGAAAAGCCACCCAACTGGAAAGCTTCCCCTGCCGCTGTTGGTGCTGTTTCTGGGATTGGATCCGCTAGGAAGTGCCAGAATCGCATTTGAAGGAGCCGAGACTGGAGGCAAGGTGTGGTTCTTGACAAGGTAGTCGAGGTAATACGGTGGCTCCACGATAATCGGTGTGAATTTCGTGCCTTGAAACGTGCGCTTGGATGGCTTTCCATCAGAGACAAGCACAGTCAAGCTGGTTGTATTTCCTGCTGCGATACCTGGATAGTCGATATCCTCCGCCAAGTTGGCAACTTCCGAGAATCGTATCGTCCACTTGACGGAGCCGGTTGAGACTTCGAAGCACGTCAAGGAATAATCTGTGCGTTGGAAGAAGAGGGGCTTAAAGTCCTTGAGCATCGAGGATAGCAGCGGCTCCGCATCCTTCCCAGACGTTGTTCCGTTGATGTCAAACTTGTGGATCAGAGTCCCGGTGCTGGGGTCGACCACGAACACTGATTTCAAAGACGCCCCTATCACCACGCCACCCTCGCTCACGATCGGGCTCTCAGCAATGTACTTCTTCAAAGTCTCGTAATCCTGTGAAGAATAAAAAGTGTGAGCTCCAGAACCACAAATAAGTAAAAAAACAAGGCTTGGCTATGTAAATTCTACAAGAGCTCGACAGTGCTGGGAGGAAACTCTTCTATCAAGACTTGAAAGGAAAAACTAGAAAGGATTGCAAAAGAATTCACGTCCCTAAAAACGCGTAGCGGCTAAGAACCCAAGATACCTGGTCGAAATGCTCCGCCTCGTCGGCATACTGCTCAATCGGCTCAATCTCCACGAGCGAGCTCCCTCCAGACGAAAACGACCAGAAATACTTGCCAGTGTCATCGATCGCGTGCACAGTACCATCTGGCGTGAGCCTGAAACCTCTACAGTGCGAAAGTACATCGATTAGGCAGCGGCCACGACCTTCGATCGCTCACTTACAGTGAAGAATCCGAAAATTTGGGCGCCTGTGCAAGCGTTAGATCCGCCGCGACTGGATTTCCCGAAATTTCACCCGCGGATGGCCGTGTCGATTTGCCGCTGAGCCCTAGCGGCACGAGAAGGAGCAGCAATGCCAGCATGCTTGACTTCCTAAAAGCCCTAATCTCGTGAACGTTTTACTTGAATATATATGTGTTTGACTATCATTGGCCAATGTTTTACCACCGTTGACTGGATGGATCCCTGTTTCATCTAGCCACGCCCGTAGAGCACATCCGGCGAGCTCACTTCACCGCGAAATGGGATCTCGATGCGCTCCTTGACGACGCATTTGGAGACCCCATCCACGAAGATCATCACTTTGCCTGGAGGGCATCGCTCCTCCATCGCTGGAGCTCTCGGAGGAATCGCCAGCGATGGCGTCGGGATCACTGGAGGAGCAGTGGTAGCCTCGCTCGAGCTCCTCCTTCTCTCGTGCCTGGATCCAATCTCCGAGAAGAGGATGATCGTGGTAAGAACACCCGCCATCACCATCGCCGCTCGAGAGGTGACTCCAACCCCGGGGCCGAAGAGCCGGCCAGCAAATCTTCGCAGGTCCAAGCCCAGCTTGATCGGGATCCCGAGAAAGTTCGCCATGAACGTCTTGTGGATCTCTCCTCGATCGCCGTGCTGTTCTTCGATTCTAATCGGCTCTCCAGCCTGCGTGATCCGCGCTGGAGACTTCTCTTGCTCGATCCCCACGGGCTCTCCAGCGAACGCCAGAGCTTCGTGGATGATCTCCCATTCCTTGCCATGGTGGCTTCTTAGCCGGCTGAGAAGAATCAATCGGCTCTCCTCCAGCTCCGCGAGCGCTGTGTCTCGATCCATCCTTTGCTGCTGCTGGAGAGCCTGGAATTCGACATCCAGAGCGATCAATCCATGGACCAATTAAAGGCTTCTTCTCTTTACCTGGAGACACTCGAGCTGTTCTTCCAAGGCCTCGAGCGCATCGCGAATAGCGCCCAGGCTCTTCGCCTCGGCATTCGGCTCTCCGAGAAGACCTACATTTGACCCTTGCTCCTCCTCCTCCTCCTCGCCTCGATCTCGAGCAGCGCTGCTAACAGAGGAATCTCGCGCCTTACCAGCAGTGAGGAGGAACTCCGATTTGAGCGCGCGCTCGATGGCATCGTTGATCCGCGTGTGGAGATCCGAGGCGCGTTGGAGCACCACACTGATCTCATCAGGCTCCATAAACCCTAGCCAAGCATATGTCGAATATTCTGGTGCCTTGGCTCCGCATGGTCTCTAAGCAGTACAACCTTGTTAAGATTGTCACTGATTTACTCTTTTAAACTTTTGGTTTTAGATTTTCCCAGCTAAAAGTGAGTTATAAATGAAGACAAATAAATTGAAACGAATTGAAAAGAATTGAAAAGAATTCAAACTATTAAATGAAGACAAAAAATTTAAAATGAATTAAAACAAAGAAAATGATTGGCCCAGAAATACTTTGAGCAGTGTTTTAGGGTTCTAGAATATGGGCATAAAATGGCTGTAAATGCCATTTTTTCATTTTAATTCGTTTTAATTTGTTTTAATTCGTTTTTCTTCATTTGATTTCATTTAATTTCATTTGATTTTGTCTGAATTCTTTTAAATGCATTTCAATTTATTTCAATTTTAAAATAATTTTTACTAATTAAACACCATATTTTACTTTGATACAATATCCAGAAAAAATGAATAAGGATGAGGAAAAAAAACAAACAAACTAGTAGTTCACTAAATACTAAATTTGTGAATATCTTTAAAACATACTTTAGATAATATTATAAGGCATCAAACAGTTTCTCTAAATAGCCCTTATTGCATGAAGTAATAATAAATCTATACATAAAACTATATAGATAACTGATATTTGTTTCAATGCATTACCCACAACTTGAAAAAATAATCTTTGATGGATTTGAACAGCTTTGAGATGTCTCTCTAGGTCTCATGGATGTCTTCTCTCATTTCACATCTAACCAACCATAAATGAAACATTGTTCACATTTAGTTTGAAATGGAAAGAATAATGGTATACCATTCTAAGCAAGGGATTTCTGGTTTATTTAAGCAAAATCTGTATGGGGATTAAGATGGTAGTGATAGAATATGCTTAGATATTCTGGGATATTTTACCATCCAATGGTTATACTTAATTTATATTTGATTTATAAATTATAAACACCTTTATAATTATTAATCAATTGGATTATTAAAAAACTAAATAATAAATATATTATTATTAAGTAAACCAAGTGTTGTTGCATGCACTATACAGCAAATTATTAATATATAAATAATTTAAAAATGTTTTAGTTATTATTTAAACCATTGAGATTTCAATAATTTCAACCATAAAACTAAAACTTTACTTAATCACTCCTACTATTAGTTTATGTTTCTCATATAAATTACTAGTTATGTAAAAGAAATATTTAGAAATTTATGTTATACTTAGTAATTACAATTATATTCTTGCATAATATCATCACTCTCCACACTAGAAATATAAAAATAAATATTTTAAATTATTCAATATATGCATGTATGGTATATGGAAGTGTCTATTAGCCCAAAAAACTTAGTTTATATATAGGAGCAATAGTACTCTAATTATTAATATATGGCATTGTAGCTATATACTTGAATCTCACATCATCCCCTCTCAGAAAAATGGAAAGTAGTCAAGGTTCTTTAGCTAATGGGCTGTGATCTGGAGGAACATTAAGAGGCACTAATGGATTTGAAAGTGGTGTTAGTTGCTTCTAATCCTTTTATATGAAGCATTTTAGTCATTACATATGCATAACTTTTGGAGGATTAACATGTTGAATGTTATACCAAACTTTATAAACTTGTGGTAAAACTTGTTACAACATCTAATATGGCCCCTTCTATTGAACAAAGAGTGTTTAAGATAAACCACATACCATAAGTTTTTAAAAATAGACTAACACTAATATGAGACACAAATCCCAAAGCCCAGAAAAGGAGCCAAAAGGGTGCCACATGGCAATGGCTGAAGCGGAAGCCAAACGGGAGTAGTATATTTGGAGTAAGAGCCCCGACTCAAAAAATTGAGAGTGGGAGTGGAACTCTCAACAAAGGGCTCAAGGAATGAGCACGAAGCAAGTAACAAGTGAGTTTCTAGAAAAAGGACAACAGGACCAACACAAGACACGTGAAAGTGTCAAAAAAGGAGTCTCCAAAGGAACAAAAGTTCTAAAAAATATAGTAGGGAGAGTGTGGGGGTTAGACCCCAATGGAGCTAGTTTGGCCAAGAAAGGCCAGTTTAGCTTTAAGTATAAGTTGGTGCACTAGCATGGAGAGTCATGCCAGGCATCCTGTGTGGTGCTGTTTGTAGATGCATATATGGAGGTTAGGTTCAAGTCCCAACTCTTTAGTGCTTGGGTTTTCATTAGGGTGAGGTGATGGTTTGGAATATGAGGACACTTATTTTTCAGTAGTTATAAACTCTTAATAAGGAGACTAGCTTGGGCATATCACCAAGCAGGGGATGCCTCGAAGTCGTGATGCATGATTAGATTGCTTAGTGTGGCCCGATATATATAATTTGAACATTTTGGTGCGAGTGGCATCAAGGATGTGGTGAATGAGATGGGGGCATCTAGTTTCAGTTGCTATGGACCCTTGGCTAGAAGAGCTAAATTGAGTGCACCACCAAGTGTGGGGGATGCTTCTAGGGTCATGGTTAATAACTTAAAGGTCTGGAAAACCTAGGACCTATTTGCAAACCTATTAAGGTGTCAAGGTTAGATCACTAGGTGATCTTATGGCTAAAACAAAGACAAGGTCCTTGTGAGGTTAAGGAATAAGGTTCCTATTTCAAAGTATTAATTTTAACTATTGATGATGGTATGGCTTGGTCGAGGTGACCAAACGGGAAGAACACCTAAGGGAAATGAGTTGTGTCAATGTGATGGTATAGTGAGTCTAGAGAAAATAATTTCTATAAAAGACTTATAGGAGGGTCACAAAGTTGGGCTATAGATGGAGCCCATAAAAAAAAATGTTAAAGAGATGTACTAAAGGTGAACATCTTCTAGACTTGGCAAAGTAAAGTCTTTGTTATGGAACCGAAAGGATACTTCGAGAATGGAGGTAATGATCCTATGTTGCTAGGTGTAACAATTAAAGTATAGGAGCAAAAGACTAGTGGCCAACTTTGGGCCATGGAATTCATTGGAAAGAATCTAAATGGAAAAGTTAGACAAGGAACGCTTATATGTTTAATGCTAACAGATTGTGAAAAAGGAAATATATATCTGAGGATGGATTTCTAAATGCTCCAATCTGACAAAGTGAAAATTCCAAAGCAGGGAGCAGCAAAGTAGTCAAATGATAGGGCTGTGGACAACTTTAACATAAAATATGGAAAAATAAAATTTAGTGTCTAGAGTGGCACAAAATAGGAGAGAGGGTGATGGTGGCCCTCAAGTAGAAAACTTCCTAGGATGGGGAAGTGGAATTTGCACAATATGTGCAATGTAAGGTGTCAGAAACACCTAGAAAATTGACTTTGACAAGTCAAATTTAAGAATTCAAAAGTGCAAAGGTTATATCGATAATACTTGAGAATGAGTAGTGAGATTGAGATAGAAAAGGTGTCTCTAACAGGTTTAGCAAGAATTAAACCAATAAAAGGAGAGAACCACCACAAATGGTCGAATGAATCTTTATGTTATAGAGATTATGCTCCTTAAAGGATGAATAAGGCATGGGCAGCCTTCAATGTCAAACCATTAACAAATATTGGCTAGGTGCCAAAGATGGAAAGGGTAATATATATTGATATTACTTTATAAAATGGTTTATCGTTCAATAAGGACATCAAACTTCGTGTATAGGTGGTGGAGTTATAAGACACAAATCCCAAAGCCCCAAAAGTGGAGCCAAAAGGGTGCCACATGGCAGTGGCCAAAGTAGAAGCCAAACAGGAGTAGCATGTTTGGACTAAGAATGCCGACTTGAAAAATCAAGAGTGGGAGTGGAACTCCCAATGAAGGGCTTGGGGAACAAACACGAAGCAAGCAACAAGTGAGTCTCTAGAAAAGGGACAAAGGGACCAACATAGGACATATGGAAGTGTCAAAGAAGGAGTATGAGGAAGAGTCCCAGATGGACCCGAGGAGGAGTCTAAGATGGACCCGAAATGCAGTCCGAGATGGGTCCGAAATGGACTATGAGATGGATCTGAAATGGAATCTGAGATGGAGTTTGAGATGGATTCGAGATGGAATCCAAGATGGAGTCTGAGATGGAGTTCGAAATGGACCCGAGATGGAATCTGAGATGGAGTTCAAGATGGACCTGAGATGGAGTTCGAGATGGAATCCAAAATGGACCTGAGATGGAGTCTGAGATGGAGTCCAAGGTGGAACTGAGACTGAGATCGAGACCAAGACTAAGACTGAGTCCAAGTCTGAGTTTGAGTCCAAGACCGAGACTAAGTCCAAGTCCGAGTTAGTTCAAGTCCGAGTCCGAATACTAATACAAGTTGTTGGGTGAAAGCCCAAAGCGATTGTCCCCCGGGGGGGGGGGGGCGCTGCAAAGGGTTCCAAAAGTATAGTAAGGGGAGGGTGGGGGTTGGACCCCCGTGGAGTTAGTTTGGCCCGGAAAGGCCAGTTTGGCCCCGGAAGGCCATACCCCACTGTTGGGGGATGGGATGACCACTAGGAAGTCCAAGGCTAGAGTGAATACGGACTGACAAGCGGGATGGCTTGGTGAAGTATTCAAGAGTTGGCTCTATTTCCCTCGGGAGATCAAATAGTCAATGCTCCCAATACAAGCATAGGTGGCACTACCTACTTGGATACCTAGCATGGCTCAATAGAACCTTGCTCTAAATCCATGGCTAGAGCACCTAAAGGCGGAAGGTGGGGAGAGTACCTATAAGGCTCGCATAGGGCCACGGTGTTCTAAATTGTTGTCCCAAAGTCTTAGATTGTGGAAAGGAAGAGGAATAGTCCTCTAGTGTAGTGACCAAAGCTACAGTCATGTGGCAAGGTAGTCCCAAAGGATCGTGGGACTTAGTGGTCGAGCCTATGGGCCTTGATCCAATGGTAGTGTTGGTGCACACGGCCATGGACAGAAAAGGATTTGGTAGGGACTATGAAAGGGATATTGGGGAAGGCTGTTCCCCATGTTTGCGGGCATTTTAAAGATGCTAAGGAGTGGATCTAAGATGGTC